ATTCACTTGATTAGCTATGTGACCTGGATTGTAGGGAACTACACCACCTACATGTCATGTGATATAAGCCACAACAATAGCTCCTATCTCCAAGTTGGTTACACCAGCTGCTCTAGCTCGTTGGCTTTCATCCTGTACTACTATTCCATAAGCTACATTTATAGTAGGTGTAGGTATCATCATCATGATTTGTCCCTTTGCTTGTGAAAATGACTTATTTAACCTACTCAGAAACTAAACTAGTCGTTGTTTATGTATATGTTCAATGAATACTTTTGATTCTGGACAAGGGCACGATGGTGTAGGTGTCATAGCATCATATTCTGTTACTCCCTATATTTTCGTACGTAAAACTGTGTCGGGAGCAAACTAATGTAGGACCCAAAAAAATAAGATCATCTTTGAAAATATATAAAGCAAGTTAATCATGTTACCTTGGAAGTTACAAATATTGAAGATCATGAACAACAAGTACAAAGAGGGTTGGAAGGTTCAGAAGCTAAATGAATTGAAGAAAATAATGTTTTGTCGAAAGCCGACAAGTTGAGAATGTTATACCATGTACTTTTGGGGTGAGCCCAGGGTGTTTAACATGATAAGGAGGTTATGTTATGAGTTATGTTATTCGTATTATAGTCGTGTGTTATATTTTGAAGTCAAGCGAGTGGTGGAAGAAAAGTCGATGAAAGTCATCACAAGTTACGTTCATAAGTTTTACTGAAACTTTGGGTCAAATATAACTGCGATTTTACTGAAACCGTTTGTCAATACGATATCGGAGTAGAGATATATGGGTGTTTTTGCGAGACTGCGCAAATTGTCACCTACTTGCTTAAACGAGAATCCAAAACTGGGCCAGTTCGAGTCGTCCAAAACTGGGCCAGTTCGGGTCGTTCAAAGAGGCCTTTTTAAAAGTCTATCCCCTTCATATATTAGGATGATAATAGGGCAAAATAACCAGACTTAATCTTTGCAAAAATCCTCCCAAAAATTTTTCACAAACCCCAATTGATTTTCTCTCCCTTTCAAGTTCTAATTGGAGGTAAAGCCTAGAGTTTGAAGAACCAAGATAGGAGTTCAGTTATCCCACAAATAAGGTAAGTTTACTGCTCTCTTTCATCAATTCTTTACAGTTGTAGATGCATGGTAAGTTGTTCTATATTTGTAAGAACTCACGGGACGGTGATCGGAAGCCGTGAGTTCAAGTTATTCACTTGTAGCGGATTATTTTGTGGACTGTTTGGTGTTGCTTTTGGGGTGCGTGATTTACTATTATTTTGTGGAGTTTTGGAGGATGAAGGGTGTGGATAAATACCACATAAATGCAGAATGTTGGGCTGGTCGTTCGTCGTAATATTTTCGAGTTGTTGACACTACTACGATGGTCGTTTTGTGTATGAAGAGATCGGGGTGTGTTGGGCTATTTTGTAGTATTGTGTGGTGTACATAAGGCTGGAAAATAATGTATATATGTTGTTATTGTTGTTTTTGGTGTTGTTGGTGTTATCTTGAATTTGGAGAAAATAAGGATTATAGGGGAGATGCTGTCCGTTTTAATACAAAATAAGCATGTCATTTGTTGTGTGATAGTTATACGTTTTGTAACTTAATGATAGTATTATTATCGTTGTTGTAGATTAAGGTGAGAAGAGGAGAGTTCAACTTTGTTATTGAAAATATTGTGATAAGGTATGTTAAGGCTAAGCCCTTCCTTCATTTTGGCATGATCTCGTAATTACATGTGTTTGATAATGAGGCATAAAGAGAAGTTCATACTCCCAAATTTATATACATTATTCTAGTCTCATAAATTACGGTATTCTTCTTATCGGGACTTCATATTTAATTTAGTATTATCTTCTTCCAGTCAAGAGAGCAGAGAGCCTATATATACAGTATTACAGTATTTTCATTACCATCGAGCTATAATCGATGGGCAGGCCCCTATTGGACAACCTCTGATCAGATGGTAAGTTATATATATCGACCCTACTGTGGCCGAGCGCCTATGAGCGAGCCTACAACGGCCGAGCAGTTATACGTACCGAGCCTTATAGGGCCGAATATTTATTTTACTTAATATATTGAAGGAGTTGAGTCAGTATCAACAGGTAAGTATATCTCCAGAGCATCTTTGACTCCCAGTTACTTTCAGTTATTATATTATCAGTTCAGTTTCAGTTTTCAATTATGTTATTGCCTTACATACTCGGTACATTATTTCGTACTGACGTCCCTTTTCTGTGGACGCTGCATTTCATGCATGCAGGTTCAGATAGACAGACGGGTAGACCTCCTCAGTAGGTGTTTTCAGAGTTCAGCCTGATCGGTAAGCTCCACATCCTTCAGAGTTATCGGGTCTAGGTTTTTGTGTACATCTTATGTATGTATGCATATATGTTATAGGTAGGTCGGGCCCCTGTTCCGATCACAACATATCCATCAGTAGAGGCTTGTAGACATATCCTGTTGGTTAGTGCAATATGTTGGGCTTGTAGGCCCGGTATGTATATTTTGGTGGTTTGTCAGTTGTGGTAGTTATGACGGCCTTGTCGGCCTAGCTTTATATTGATGTTTAGTCAGCGCTAGTTTCCATTCAGTTTTATATTTTGCTTCGCAAATTGTCTTGCAAGGTGGCCCCATGGCCAAATTATGACATTATATGTTCAAAGTCCCTTAGTCGCAATTTGGTACGCCAGATTAGGTGAGGCACCGGGTGCTAGTCTCACTCCCAAGTTCGTGGCATGACATATTCATCCCATAAATCCTTCAATTTTGAGAAGTAGGTAGAAACTGGCGCTAGTCCTTGCTTTAAGATATTAATTTCCTAAAGCAAATTGTAGATTCGTGAAATGTTTCTCTTATCAAACCTCTCATATAAGTCATTCCACACATTATATGTTGTAGATGCATAAACAACACTACTCTAAAGTTCCTTTGTGACAACATTCATGATCCACGAGAGAATAAAAGCGTTGCATCTATCCCATTGATCATATAATTCCTTCCTAAAATTGTTCTTCTCACATGTTCCATCAATAAAACCAACCTTGTTCTTCGCGAAAAGTGCAATCCCTATAGATCGATACCACAAATTGTAGTTATCAGTACCTAGAAGTTTGAATTCGATCAAATGCTCACCTGGCGAATTAGAAGGTCTCAACTATGTACAGAGGATGATTGTAACTGATTGTAGTCTCATCATTCGTTCCTTCTCCTACTGCCATCGTAGCTCTGAATCGCAAACCCTAGCAACTGAATTGAGTTGATAACGAACAATTAACCAATAAATTGAAGAGTAACAAAGTAAGTATCAACATTCGATCGTAGGCTCTGATATCATATTGAGATTCTAGGATCGAAATGAGATGAGAAGAATTTAGAATAATGAGAGAGAGAGAGAGAGAGAGAGAGAGAGAGAGAGATCAACTGGAGAGAGCAAATTGCTTCTTCATTTCATCACAGAATGAATGCTTACATGCTAATGTCACTAGCTAATCCCTTTTATACATATTCAACTAACTCCCTACTCTAAGTATCTATAACTTATTAACTGACTAACAATACTCTTCACTAAATTAGTTACAGATTTGGATTATGTACACTTAGGTCCCTAAAGTTCTTATTTCTTCACATTGGCAGAAGAAAATGAGGGAGTTCTCTTCTCCCCCCCCCCCCCCCCCCCCCGGCAATAACATCAGTTTATTAGGATCTTAACAGGAAGAAGTCAAGTGAAAAATGGAAAAGTAAAGATTACTTCTTTGTTAATGATATCAATATGACACATGGCCGGATAATTAGGGTTCATTGCTCACACCATGTATTTAATTGTATTAAAAAATAACTAAATATTTATAAATATTTGATTGTGAACTCAATTATTATTGTATTACTATTAATTAACTTGAGGTCCTTGTAGGAACTCACAAATCCTAAATCCTGGATTCGCCTCCGCTTCTCAATTTCAAAATGCAATTATCTCCAAGAACAAAACGTCTCCTATGCTCAATACCTTACATTGGTGTATTACATCTTGATGTACAATAGTAATATTAACATGTAATATATTGTATGGTAAAGAGGGGGAGATCTTTGTGAAAACCAGTTATTTGGTGGCAGAAATTTACATCCTTCAAGCCTTTGGTAGGACATTGTGAGCTATATCTAAGGCATGACCTTGGCTCTGAAACATGTTAATGTCTATTTTATTCGCATACAGTCACAACTATCTATAACAACATATTTATATAACAAACATTTATTATTATATATAAAAATTAAGTGTTTCTCGAAATCGATTTTTTATGTTGTATTTTACCTTTCTATAATAGTTTTTATATATGACACCAATATTTATCTTTATAATAGTATGCTCTTTGTAAAATTACACCGCTATAAAAGCTATGTAACATCTTTAGGATTACCAATAATAAGTCTAAAGATTTTTTACGAAATATTTTAAAACTTTAATGCACCACGAATGATAAAGAATATTATGTTACTTCCATAATTAAAATTTCATTCAATTTCATTGAAAGATATCCTTGCATATTTTCATTCCATTGCACAAACGTTTAAATCTTTGCACATTTAGTTATAGATTTATTAAGAATGTATTAGATTTTTTTAATATTTAAGTAGTAAAATATGCATATATTTTGAGATTTTAAATTTGAATAATTTTATTATGTTTTATATATAACATTAACAAAGGAAAAAAAATTTAATTTTGGGATAATTTTGGCCGTAACAACCAAAATAATATTTAAACATAATATGTTGTTATAGCTATATAACAATCATTCATTATAAACTTAAAAAAAATATCTGAACTACAGATGTTGTCATTGAGAGGTTTGATTGTATATGGTTGAGCTTATATTTTATGGCATACTAAATTAAGACATGTTATTGTCTCATATAAAAAGAAAAAATAATGTTAGGTTTAATATCTGGCTTAGACTCAAACAATATTGACAAGTGTGAAATTTGTTCTCAAGCCAAAATTACTAAAAAGACTTATTTTTATGTAAATAGATAAACTGAAATACTATACTTGTGTGTAAACCAGTTATTTGGTGATAGAAATTTACATCCTTCAAGTCATTGGTAGGACACTATGAGCTATAGATCTAAGGCATGACCTTAGCTCTGAAACATCCTTTACATCTATTGGATTCATTTTGGGATTCTTGATCCAGATTTTGGCTTTGGCCATCACTTGACTTTGGGCTGCCAATGGAATTTGATCTGAGAGATAGAGATTCAAACATCTGTAGCTCTACAATTTCCTTGCCTTCACATATGATCTTAACCTCACAGAACTCTGGTGCATTTTGCAATATCTGATAAGCCGTCCCATTACCTCTTCTTGACATCATTTTCCTATTATCATAGGAATATAATTAATCAATAAGATTAAGAAGAGAAGCTTAAAACTGATGGAGAAGATGAGTAGTAGTTTAAGTGATAGTAATTTTTTCCCTTCTCATACTTGATATTGGCTTTAGAAGTACCAAGAATCAGCTTTCTTATGTTGCAGATAGGAATAAGATCCAGTATAGCTTTGCCTTCCATGTCACTCTCTATAAGAATTGTATCCACTTTAACCTGTTCAAAGTGGCATGAATATCATATACATTCAAACCTCTCTGTAACAACCTCCTTTGTTCCGAATTTTTTTGGCTGTTATAGCTAAGTACTGTTATATAAAACATATATTTTAACATAACATGAAAATTAATTTCATAAAAAGCTAGTGATGCTGTTATAGAGAGGTGCGACTGTACCCTTAGAACTGTTTCTTGGTGGCAAAGCCAGAAATTTCTTTAAGTATGCTCAAAATTTAATATATATGTATAAAAAGTAGTATTTGACCTATATACGTAAGATAATTTTTTGGCAAAAGGTGTTCATTAACGTTGTTTCTGCAAGTTACTAACTTGCTATAAGCAAATATGAGAAATTATGTGTAGTTTATTTGTGCACCTTGAAAGCAGTGCAGATGTCAACAAACTTTTTAAGGAACTGCCTCCTCTTGCTTCTTTCTTGAGCCATGTACTTCTCCTTTTGCTCTTCATTCACTTGGCTTATTGGAATCATTCCCACTGTTGTATAATAAAATTTGGAAAATTTATAGTGTACAGTAAACTAAATTAGATCTAAATTCAAATAATTTCTCTCTTCATAAAGGTAAAAGGATCAAAATACTCTTTTATTGAATAAAAAATTTTAATTTTACTCTCTGTTATGTTTTAGGGCCATACATTACCCTTGCCTTTAGCAAATTGTCTCGCATGTCGTTACCCTAATAGAAATCTAATCTAAAGTATCATAGAGGATAATTTCAAACTATAGTCAAGAGTCACGAGGAAAGTTTGGATTTTTTCACCGAAGTATATTGACACGTGAAATCCACTCAGTTCAAGCTAGAACTAGAGCTCTTTTAAAGTCAACGGCAAATACGAGGCTATTTGCTTAACAACAAGGGTATCAATGGCGCCAAAGTATAATGAAGGGTAAAATTTTAATATTTTGTAATAATAGATAGATAAATTTGGACAATTTCACTTTTAAGAATGAAATAAGGGGCAAAAAGAAGAATCAATACTCTTTAGAAGGATATAACAAGGATTTCTGTCTTTCTTAAACTCCATGCTAAGTAAAAACCACCAAATAAAATGAAGCGGAGGGAATAACTATATAATAAAGGATTTTATGTATGTTTGATTTGTGTGTGAGAGAGAGAGAAGAGAGAGAGAGAGCTTACAAGGAGTAGGGATATATTTGGTTTGAGGGAAGATAAGAATAAGAAAAACAATGGCAGAATTTGGATTGATTACACCATGTTTGAGAGTCCAAAACAGTGCGTCCATACTTGATTCTTCTTGGCTAATATTCTTGTTCCAAACAGCAACATAAACAATATCATGAATATCTCCTCCTTTATTATTAAAATCAAAGGAAAACAAACTGGCTTGATCCATTTCACCTTCACTTCTTGTACTGTTCAAACGGACCAAACCCCCATTATTATGATCCATTTCAAACATATAACTTGTAGTAGAATAATAAAATTTCTCATCTTCTTCTTCAATCTCATTGATCAAAGTGTTTGTGTTAGTTTGTTGACTTTGACTCTCATCTTTGCAATTGGACTCATATTCACCCTTCATTGTTTCTGTCTTTGTGGTATCTTATTTGCTTCAAAAAGATTCAGTTGTTTGAAAAACCTCAGACAGAAAAGTTTAGGACACAGTTTGCTATAAAGTGAGACATTTTTATCTTATGTACTAATGTCCCTTGTAATTAAGCAACCACTTAATTAAAAGTACCCCTCATTTTACTTGTGATTTTTGGAATTATAAGCAAGATATTCCACTGAATATGCTTCATATATCAGCTGGCTGTTGATATGATGTCACTACTTATCATGTAAAGTGCTTTGTTAAACAATACTCCCTCTCTGTCCCAAATTATGTGTCACTTTATACTTTTCGAGATTCGAATCTGATCTTAATCTTCGAACTTCTCGTTCTATGAGACCCAAGTCTCGTTGTTCTCGTTCTAAGCCACGTCTTAACCTCGTTAGAAAGCGTCATCAATATTTTTCTAGTGCTTCAGTGGGCTTTGGTCTTTTTTTGTTATAGGTATATATTTCACCAGTTCGGAAGATAAATTACCAGTCAATGACATGTTCGTTAAGGAGGGCAACAATAGGTTAGCAATGGCAAACAAATAATAATTAGGTTATGGTAAATCCTCTAAAATGGATAAACTTTAACTCCTTTGAATTAAGGGGATGTTGATCGAGTGATTAAAAAAGAGATTGCACTATTGATTTACATATAACTAAAGGTAACCCGTTTAAAGAAAAACGAAAGGTGAAATACATAAGTGCTTTGATTGAAGTTTGTGTTAGGTATTGTCGTGATTTTCTTACCATATTAATTTGGTTTTCCTATTTCTTGAAGAAAAGGACAATATATTTATCATAATTGGATTTTCCTTTTTGCAGAAGGAAATTATAATTCTTTCATGTTTGGCTAGTCCTTTTTCTTGTAGGAAAAGTTTTAAACTTCTATAAATTGAGGATCCTTCCTTCTCATTCATCAATATCCACAATGTAGTCATACAGGGTTTGAGAGTCGTGTTTAAGGGAAAAGCTCTACGGGACAAGTGTTAGTGCGTCACTTGTGTTTGCTTCTTCGTGAGGTTATTCTCTCGATATTTTATACTCTCTTTTTATATAGTGGATTGCTCATCTCTGCCGTGGACGTAGGTCAATTGACCAAACCACGTTAAATGTTTGTGTCTCTTTTGGTAGATTTCGATTTATCGTCTTTCAAGGTTTGTTTTACTAACTCTCGCATGACACCGGATTATTTCGGTCCTAGCACATCTAATTCGTAGTTGGTATGCATAAAAAAATATGAATAATTAGTCAACTGAGAAGACAACATATGTTAATCATTTTAATAAACCAAACTTAAGGAATAAGTGATGTGAATGATGTCATGAGTAAAAGGTTTTAAAATGTGGGAAGTTATTCCGATAGTGACTTCCAAAAGAATATGCGAAATAGCTACCAGAATCAAGCAATAGGAAATTGTCTAAGGTCAAATGCTCGTTGTATACAGTATGTATATATAATTCCTCTTGATTATTAAAAATAAGTGAGATTAGTTGAACAGTGTGTGAGAATCAAAGATGCTTTTTGACAATAAATCTAATGGATTCTTGTACTGGAATCCTAAATACTTGCACATTAGTTTTTTATATTAATCAAAGCATAACTAGTATATCCTCGACGTGATGTTTCATAAAATCTTGCTAGCTATATCCTCTATTAAATACTATACTAAAATATAGGGATAGTATATAATTACAGATATATATTCAGAATTCATAAACTTTAAATCATGTTTGCATCTCTGCCTACCGTAACAAGTATTAAAATTTTGCCAAAGATATGTGTCACTATGCTTGAAATTTCCTTGGCAAAGGATGTAGGCGATACCAACTAGTCGGCCTAAAGTATAGTATTGTTGTTACACTTATATTAGGTCCAATTAAGAATAGAACTACAAGATTTTGACACCTATAGTTTTAAAGGAATCATAATTTTCTTTAAAACGCAAAGTTACTTATAACCAATATTTGAATGAAATGAGTTTGAGTAAGGTGGATATATAAATGACTTTGTGTCGTGGATATCAACTATTTGTTGGATTTTGTAGAATACTAGTTGTTTAGGTGTAGGATAAGTCTAATATTTGATTTAATAAAATATTCAGTTCTTAGTTGTAGTAAGAGTTTAATACTTTTGTAAGAGGAGTTTAATATTCTATGATTAATGAAAATTTAAAGACAGATTTTCAACTTTTTCGCTGCTCGCATATTTTTCAAAAATTCATAACACAATTATGGGTCGAAGCATACTAAGTGACTAAAAGACACCATACTAAAACCAAGAGGAACAAAGTGTTTTTGCTTTCTAATTAAGACATTCATACACATTCTGCACATTTGAATGCCTCAAGAATGAAATGAAAATCATAAGATACAACATACAACAAATTAAATAAAATTTCCCATTTTGGATCCCTTGCCTTAAATTTCTACTATAGTTTTTATTTTTACAATTTTTTTCATGTCCCTTCAATATTTCCATTAGATGATTCTCCAATTTCTTCCTCTTCTTGTTCCTTTTGACGCCATTTTTGCAGTTCTCCTTCAACTACCAATTTGGCTGCTTCAGCCATTTCTGCTGTCTTTAATGCTTCTTGTGTTGCAGCTTCAATATCTTCTTTCTCTTTTAAAATCGCCTCGAGTTTCTTGTTTGCCTCATTTTCATTGGCATTTATGCTCTCCACTTGAGCCAATGCAGTTTTAACTTTTATTTCAGCATCATTCTTGGTTATTTCCACTTTTCGTTTCATCTCGTCGAATTGCTCAATTGACAATCTTATCTTCCCATTAGACTCTAAATTATGTTCTTCATTATTATTGTGTATCTTATCATCTGCAAGTTTCTTTGCTGCTTTTGCCTCTTCAGCTTCTTTTAATGCAACTTTTAGTCTTTCTTCTGTTTCTTTAGCTGTTTCTTGAGCTGTTTTTGTTTCTTGTTTGAGTAATTCTGCCTTCTTCTTCATCTCCTCTGCTTCCTTTAAAAATTGATCCGCCTCGGAATTCAACTGTTGAATTCTTGAAGGTAAATCATTAGAATCTCCTTCTGCTTGTGTTTTAGCTGATATGCTTGCTTCAAGTTCCTTCTTGCTATTTTCAAGATCCATTTTCAAGTTTTCAACTACGGACTCTGCTTCCTCTGCTTTCTTTTTAAGGTTACTGAGGTCGCCTTTTACACGTTCTACTTCTAGTTGAAGTGAATCAACTAGCGTTCGGAGTGAACTTTCCTCTTCTGCTATCTCGTTCAACGCCTTCTTTGTAGCATCGAGCTCTGCATTTGCTTTATTAAAAGAGTCCAAATCCAGGGCTCGGACTTCATTTAGTTGGTCTTGTAAGACGTGGATCGCCTCATTGGTTACCTCGAGTTTTTCCAGGAGGTTTTCGGTTACTAGTTGAGAATCAGGGTCCTCTTTGAGAGCCCTGATTTTGTCTTCAGCTTCTTCTTTAGCAGTACTAAGGGAATGAAAGTGAGCTTCTTTATCTGCAATAAGTTTTTCATGCTCATCTTGTGCTTGGAGAGATGCAACTTTTACTTGGCCTAACGTTTCGCGCAACGTATCAACTTCTTTCGAGAGTTTACCTAGCCTCTCTTTGTTGATGGCCGCATTATGTTGCGCGTCTGCAGCTTCTTGAAATGCAGCTAATTTCGCTTCCAGGGCCGCGTCAAAATCCTGACGAAGATTTGTTAGCTCTTGTTTTGCTGAATTTAGCTCGCCTGAAGATGTTCGATATTGTTCTCTTTCAGCTTCCACATTCTGTTTCCAAGCATCAGTGCCAATTGGTGGCTTGTTTGATTTCTGTTCTTCGAGTTCGATGGCTCGGGCCTTTGCAGCTTCTGTTGCCTCAATGGCTGCTTGTTTCGATTCGCATAAAGTTTCGAGCTTTCCAGTGAGTTCTTGGAGAGTTCTTTTGGCCTTTTCGAGTTCGCGGAGAGCATGAGCTTTTGTTGTCTCTGTACTTCTTATTTGTTCTTTGAAACTGTCTAGTTCTCTCAGGGCTAAGTGAAGCCTACTTTCCTTCTCTAGCACCCTCTGTGAAGGAGAAGAGAAGTTGTTATATGACAATTCAAAAATAAATGCATGATTCTCAAAAGTTCATTTTGTAGGAAAAGATAGGATTTGAAGTATAGCATATATTGGAAAGAGATGGATGATAAATATATGTCCTAACTTGTGGCTATAGCAAGACCATTTCACATGCGCCATAGATTTAGGGCGAGCTCAATTGAACTTATTGCTTTCGGCTCCAATTGAGTATATCTATATTGGTAAGATCCTTCAAAAATATCGGTGACTCTGTGTCGGATCCTTCAAGAATTATTATGCAATTTTGGAGGTTTCGAAATGGGTGTGACCAGTGATGAAATCAGGAATTTCTCCAAGGGTATTCAAACTTGAAAGAAGTAAAAAAAATTCCTCAAGAAAGTGTGTTCGATCAATATATGTTATATACATCTAAAACTTAATATCTTACCTATATATACTGTGTAATTTTTCGACAAAGGATATAGGACAATGTAGCTTCGCCCTTGGGTGGGACGGGTATTTTTGGAGGATCCGATCAACATAGATGTGTACACATGCTAAAATTATGGGTTCAGAATTTAAATTTGATGGGTTTAATCTTTAGGTTCTTACCATTCAATCCATTACAATTTCAAAACTATAGGTTCAGAATTTAATATTTTATGAAATCTAAGTAACTTTTCACATATATATCCATGCTCTGCATTAAAAATTTTGGTTCAGTTGAATCCATTCGCCTTCATACATATAATAAGGTCACATACCTCTTCAATGGTTTTTGATCTTTTAATGGTAGGCTTAGCCTTAGGGGAAGAACCAGCTTCTCCAAACAAACTAACAGCTGCTCTTACAGATTGAAAAGGTGCTCTTGTATCAATTTCTCCAACCTCTGCTCTTGGGGAGCCTGTGCTTCCTGCAGTTTTTGGAGAACCAACAGAAGATGGAGAGCCTGTGGATTTTGGAGAACCTGAGGCATTTTGCCTCCCAGTTCTTATACTGAATCCAAACATGATTTTTGTGGTTCTATCTCTATAATTTTCTCCGGCTAAATTCTGCAATAAAAAAAAAGATGTATATTCAAGATTATGAGATTATATAGTTTTGATGAAAAAGAAATATTCCACTATTTTGTTCTAAATGCCACATAAAGAATGATTTCATGATCGTAATATGCATGCAGTGACGAAGCCAGAAATTTTCTCAAGAGTGTTTTGAAAGAACTGAAAAAAATCTCCCATAAAGGTGTTCAATAAATGTCATATACTTTTAAAACTTAATATTTAACCTATATACACAATACAATTTTCTCCTAGACCATCCTTAGAATAGTGTAGCTTTGCCCTTGCATGCATGCATGGAGTAGGCTAGTAGCGTACACGAATTTTTGCGTACGCAATGTTGGCATACTGTCATAATTCGACTTGTAAATGAGTTTGGTTCTAGGAATATATTGATTTTAAGCTTTTACTTTCTATCTCATATTGACATTTATTACTTCAAAGCAATGTCAGGCTATTGTATATACACATACACATATATATAAGGAAATTGTTTTTGTAAAGTGATGCCGAATGACACCTTTTTCTAAAAATCTCTGATCTTGGCTTGTCAAGAAAAGCTTGATAATCATTAAACTTTTATGCAAACAATAATTTAACGTTAACTACGTCTCAATCTCAAACAAGTCGAGACTATTGAATAATGCTTAATTAACATATGGTAAATAATATGCACGTAAATGTAAAGAGATATATAGCTAGCTCACTTCTTATTCATAAAAGAGAAGTCAGGATTCCAGAAAATGTGATCTATTGCAATCAACTTATTGTATGTGTATATAACAACTCTCAAGATTGTATCCACCTTGTGCTATAAACAGGAGAAATGTGAGAGCTTTTTCAGGTCTATTTCCCTTTTATATTTTCAAGAAAATGATCATAGGCTATGAATAAAAAGAAGAAGAAAATAAGGATGAGGTAGGTTTGAATGTTTTACTAATTTGCTTCTCTTTGTTTTGTCAAGAAATGGCATAAAACCAACTTTTTTTTTTAACATTCTGTAACACATGAGGTCCAAAATGTTTCTAATTTCATTTTTCTATTTTTATTTGCTGTTCTTTCGGTGATTAACACAGACATTCATTCCCAAAGTCTTTAGAGGTTTCTGCGGATTAAACGCAAAGATATATGGTGATTACAAGGTGATTATTCCCCATCATCCAAATGTATGTTAAACGAGAAATTTTATTTTGTGTCTCACGTGCTATGTCATACTTATGTGAGGCTCCCATATTGCTTGACAAATGGACTCACGGGTCCCACTTGATTACTTTATTAATAGATAAAATTAAAAAGGGTAACTTAAATGTTTATACTTTTCTTAGTTATAAGATGCTTAAATTAAGGACCAAAATAAGTAACATAATAATAATAATAATAATAATAATAATAATAATAATAATAATAATAATAATAATAATAATAATAATAATAATAATAATAATAATAATAATAATAATAATAATAATAATAATAATAATAATAATAATAATAATAATAATAATAATAATAATAATAATAATAAGATATCTGCATTGAGAAACAAAATAAATTAGGAAAGAGTAGGTCCTGCACGAGGAAATTATACAAGATATAACAGGTTATAATTCAAGTAGAAAGAAATGATGTACTTAAGATTTCAATGTGTTTTATATTTATTATGGATTTCGTCTTAATATAAAGATTTTTTATGAAATTTTGAAGATATAACCAGAAGAATATTTGTAAATGGACTAAATAATCACTAAACCCCATACATCACTATTCGGAAGGATATAAAATATATGAATTTAAATTCTATGCACAAAATTCAATTGCAGGTAATTTTTTGCTTGCAAGTATAAAATTGATAAAGGGTTCAAATTCATGCTTATACTATGCGAAATAGTTTAATTGTCCTTTGTAATGCCTTTAGTCCGTTAAATCCTTACCATTAGCAAAACTTTTCTTATTTTTCCTTGCCATTAACGAAGCTCCAACTTGAAATTGTTAGACTCTACTTATCCAATTTTTTCGAGAAAAAAATTCAAATTTATCCCTCAACTTTATATCTATATCCAAAAATTAATTGGATAATATTTTTTCTCTAATAGCGAAGGTAGTATTAGACCAAAAATTTGACTAGAAGATATAATTGTTCATTTTCGAACAATACAAACAAATTTGACGCTTTTGACTTAAATCTTTACACGTTACTAGCTTTAATCCATAAGTTGCACAATTTGGAATTTGGATTCTGTGGGTAGCTACAAATTTTCTTCCCTCAACCACATCAGTACAAATAAACTAACACTAGTGATAAGAACCCATTTAGAACATATCCAAATATTTCCTTATTGGCAATATTCTACTGATCGAGCCAAAAGAAATTAATTACGTATACCAACGAAAGATTACTAGTGCTCGCGGGAGAAAGTTTCAACGTACGATTACTGTTTATTGATAAAGTAATTAGTAGCCTAAAGTCAAATTTTAATAAGGCTTTAATTATCCTATAGTGAATCCACCCGATGCAAGTTTAATCCAAATAAATCGGACTACTGAGTTCTTAATACTAAATATAATTAAACCAAAAAGAAAAAAGAAAAAAGAATGAACTAGAAAGCGTTACATAGCAAAATAACAAGCATACGTTGATTCAAGTTTCTCTATCACCATCATTCTTCAACAACGTATTTCTATAGGTTTAGCTCAAGAAAATTAATCAAGTTTACACGTATTTACGTGTTCTCTAAACTTAAAATAAATAATTAAAAATGTCAATTCTCTAAAGTTTAAACTTTTAGATAAATAAGATTGCATGACCACTAACACGATATCATGTCATCTTTATTTGTTGTAGTAGGTAATCTACCCTTATTTTGTAGATTATAAATCCTACTTTTTATAGAGAGTTATCTATAGATATCTTTTGAGCGATCTGATAGTGTAATTTTTGTCACGGCGTCATGTATATATAAGGTACACCCTTTCAATCAATCAATATATATATATATATATATATATA